TTTTATTGAGGTTTCTACGGTGACAAGGAGATCCACTGGTGTATTATATATACATATATATTAACTTTTATTGAGGTTTCTACCGTAACAAGGAGATCCACTGGTGTAATACATTTTATTGAGGTTTCTACGGTAACAAGGAGATCCACTGGTGTATTAACTTTTATTGAGGTTTCTACGGTAACATGGAGATCCACTGGTGTATTAATTTTTATTGGGGTTTCTACGGTAACAAGGAGATCCACTGGTGTATTAATTTTTATTGAGGTTTCTATGGTGACAAGGAGATCCACTGGTGTATTATACATATATCTTAATTTTTATTGAGGTTTCTACCGTAACAAGGAGATCCACTGGTGTATTAATTTTTATTGGGGTTTCTACGGTGACAAGGAGAGCCACTGGTGTATTATATATATATATCTTATTTTTTATTGAGGTTTCTATGGTAACAAGGAGATCCACTGGTATATTAACCTTTATTGAGGTTTCTACGGTAACAAGGAGATCTGTTGGTGTAATAAATTTTATTGAGTTTTCTACGGTAACAAGGAGATCCACTGGTGTATTTATTTTTATTGGGTTTTCTACGGTAACAAGGAGATCCACTGGTGTATTAATTTTATTGGGGTTTCTACGGTGACAAGGAGATCCACTGGTGTAATAAATTTTATTGGGGTTTCTACAGTAACAAGGAGATCCACTGGTGTATTATTCATATATATTAACTTTTATAGAGGTTTCTATGGTAACAAGGAGATCCACTGGTGTATTAATTTTTATTGGGGTTTCTACGGTAACAAGGAGATCCACTGGTGTATTATACATATATATTAACTTTTATTGAGGTTTCTACGGTAACAAGGAGATCTACTGGTGTTTTTACTTTTATTGAGGTTTCTATGGTAACAAGGAGATCCACTGGTGTATTATATATAAATATTAACTTTTATTGGGGTTGCTACGGTAACAAGGAGATCCACTGGTGTATTAGCTTTTATTGGTGTTTCTATGGTAACAAGGAGATGCACTGGTGTATTAATTTTTATTGGGGTTTCTATGATAATGATGAAATCCTCCGGCATACTACATATTCAAACTTACTACAGTTATTAGGAAGACACACTGGCTTCGCACACTGTGTTAACTTTCATTGAAGTATTTAGGGTAACGAGGAAGTTAAGGTTGGGACAAGGAAAGTTGATCACACATAAACAGTGTTTGTAGCAAGCAGTGAGGAAGGTTTTCAAGGGAAAGCTGATCAAGACTATCGGAGGTTTCAAAAACACAATTGTACTAATCATATTTAATGAGGAAGGTTTTTAGGAAAAGCTAATAAAGCATATCTGAGATTTCAAAATAAATATTTGTAACAACTGAGGAAGGTTTTAGGGAAGTATCTTACGGAAGTGTAAAAGGAAGGACCTGTAGGTCAGACATGTTTCAGGGACGAACAAGAATTATACATTATACATATTACATTCCTAAATGCATCCTCAACCAAGTACATAGTAAAACATGTCTAAAGTCTAGTTCACTACAAACCTGGATCGGTAGCTGAGATTATCGCTCCAAAGAAAAAGCAATCATTTAAAGTGAAAGTGATATCCATCAACCTGGTAAGTCCATACATTATCCCACTGAAAGCCATAAAAATCAATTAGTTAAGCTGAGGTACTGTGTTACAAAATTACAAACAAAGGTTACAAGTAGATAGTGATATTTGGACTATAGAATCTTCAGGACATTATTCAATTATTCATGGGACCAAAACAAAACCATCAAATTAAAACAACTATGCCTGAATAATGTGATATTTCTCCATATTTTTAGCCTTTATTTCCCATTTCAGATGAATGGCATCATATCTTGAGTCCCAATGCATCGTGGCATTCACTGACAGCATCGTGAAACTTTTACAAAGTTATTTACAGGTTGTCGCCCTTTCGTCCTCAACACTCCAGGGGTTACGCTCACTTTTGATCTCTACAACCCTGGAATATGTTATAGCAAATTTGAATTGTGTGGGTTCAAAGTTCCTGACCAATCGCTAGGCTGATACCGGTCCCTTAAAGATTACAGAGGAACGACACCAGATTACTAAGGCAGCCTATTTTTACTGTGACAGGACCGATAGGTTCTTTTGATGTACATCAAAGGATTAAACTGGTCTTCTTGTCTCATACACAAGTTGGTATATATACACTGAGCCTTCAATTTTGCTATGACATATTCCAGGGGTGCAGAGAGAGAAAGTGAGCGAACCGGGCCCCTGGAGTATCGAGGATGTCGTCCTTTCAGAGTGGTTATTAACCGGGCCCCTGGAGTATCGAGGATGTCGTCCTTTCAGAGTGGTTATTAACCGGGCCCCTGGAGTATCGAGGATGTCGTCCTTTCAGAGTGGTTATTAACCGGGCCCCTGGAGTATCGAGGATGTCGTCCTTTCAGAGTGGTTATTAACCGGGCCCCTGGAGTATCGAGGATGTCGTCCTTTCAGAGTGGTTATTAACCGGGCCCCTGGAGTATCGAGGATGTCGTCCTTTCAGAGTGGTTATTAACCGGGCCCCTGGAGTATCGAGGATGTCGTCCTTTCAGAGTGGTTATTAACCGGGCCCCTGGAGTATCGAGGATGTCGTCCTTTCAGAGTGGTTATTAACCGGGCCCCTGGAGTATCGAGGATGTCGTCCTTTCAGAGTGGTTATTAACCGGGCCCCTGGAGTATCGAGGATGTCGTCCTTTCAGAGTGGTTATTAACCGGGCCCCTGGAGTATCGAGGATGTCGTCCTTTCAGAGTGGTTATTAACCGGGCCCCTGGAGTATCGAGGATGTCGTCCTTTCAGAGTGGTTATTAACCGGGCCCCTGGAGTATCGAGGATGTCGTCCTTTCAGAGTGGTTATTAACCGGGCCCCTGGAGTATCGAGGATGTCGTCCTTTCAGAGTGGTTATTAACCGGGCCCCTGGAGTATCGAGGATGTTGTCCTTTCAGAGTGGTTATTAACTTAATTCATTCAGCAAGTATTTCTCCCTTGTTTTATCAACGAAAAGATAATATTTCAATTGCTATACAATTATGTATACAGGATATAGATCACTTAAAAACAAATTGATTCAGCAAAGAATACAAAAAAAATGATTTGTTTCAAATCAAGGTAAACTAGAACACTGACAGGTCAGTAAGGGCCCCGTCTTGTGGCAATATATCCCCCATAATTATCAAGAAGCAATCTGCCCATATAGCTGAGCTTGACGTATGACATTTGGACTTCAAAAAGAATGACCCTGATCTTTGGTCAGTTGACCTATTCTTTAATTCAGACCAACTTTACCTCTTAATATCATAACAAAATGTTCATCATTGAAAAATACAAAACTTGACCTTGACCCTTTGGACCCCGTGACCTGGACCTAAGGTCAGTTGACTCTGTATTAAGTTCTGAACAACATTGCTTCATAATGTCATTACAAAATGTTCATCAGGGAAAAGGTACAAAATTTAACCTTCACCTTTGACCCTGTGACCTGGACCTTTGGTCAATTGACTCCTTGCTTAATTCTGAGCAACATTGCTTCAAAGTGTCATAGTGAAATGTTCACCAATGAAAAGATACAAATTTTTACCTTGACCTTTGACCCAATGACCTTGACCTTTCGTCAGTCGACTCCTTGTTTAATTCTGATCAACTTTGCTTCATCATGTCATAACAAAATGTTCATCAGAGAAAAAATGCAAAATTTGACCTTGACCTTTGAATCTAATGACCTTGACCTTTGACTTCGACTTTTAACTTAGTTTGTCATTTTGTTTAATTCCGAACAACTTTGCTTCATATTAAATGTCATAGCAAAATGTTCACCAGTGAAAAGCTACAAAATTTGACCTTGACCCCTGACCCGATGACCTTGACCTTAGATCAGTTGACTCCTTGTTTAATTCTGATCAACTTTGCTTCATAATGTCATAACAAAATGTTCATCAGTGAAAAGATGTAAAATTTGACCTTGACCTTTGAACCCAATGACATTGACCTTTGACCTTGACTTTTTACCTCAATGTGTATTTTTGTGAACTGAACATCTTGACCAAGTTTCATATACATCGGTCAATAGATACCAAAGTTATCAGCCAGGAACAAAATTTGTGGATGGACAGACATACAGACAGACAGAGTGATTACTATAGGGCACCCGTATCTCCGATACGGGGCCCTAACTATATGGTAACAGGTTTGTACAAATAGTTGCGACAAGTATGACGATAGGTATCGTATTATGACCCTTGTATCATGATAGATAGTGTATGGTCACAACCCTTGTATCATGATAGATATTGTATGGTCACGACCCTTGTATCATGATAGATATTGTATGGTCACAACCCTTGTATCAGGATAGATATTGTATGGTCACAACCCTTGTATCATGATAGATATAGTATGGTCACAACACTTGTATCATGATAGATATTGTATTGTCACAACCCTTGTATCAGGATAGATATTGTATGGTCACAACCTTTGTATCATGATAGATATTGTATGGTAACAACCCTTGTATCATGATAGATATTGTATTGTCACAACCCTTGTATCAGGATAGATATTGTATGGTCACAACCCTTGTATCATGATAGATATTGTATGG